ATATAATAAAATAATAAATCAGCCTTCTGAAACATGGAGTCAAGATTCTCATCTCTTCCCTCATCCTGGGACCCCTTGAACACCACCACAGGAGGGACAATTTTGGGGCTGAGGACGATTTATTGCTCACATAAACATCAGCCTCAGGGGCTGTGAGATTTTAAAGGAGCGAGCAGTCAGCCACAGCTCAAGCAAAGTCACAAATTTCTTTGTTACAAGGCAACACAGAACTTTCTAAACCAATAAACAGTTGCCATACGGTTTATTTTGCTTTTCTAACCTATCACCTACACTTACTTCTGCTGTATTGTAGATTCTTTTGTCCAATAGGCTTCTGTCTCACATGGACAAATATAATTCTATTACAACTTCTAAACTCGCAGCTTATTCTCTATAACCACATCCCTAAACTTTTCACCATCTTATCAATATAGCTTCTCACTTATTTAAGGCGTATTCTTACAACTATAGAAACACAAGTTTATGATTTTCCTGCTTAACGTCTGTCTATCGTACTTCTACACCAATCCAAGCTTCTCCCAAAGCTGCAAATCAAACCCTTCCATATCTGTGGAAGTTTCTATTTTTCTGATTCCCACACCTTCAGAGGTTTTCTTTTCCCTTTTCAGGGAAAGTTTTCTCTTGGTTATCACATTGCCAGACAGTCGTTAATACAGGCACAATGTAACATCTGAAATATTTCTTGATTTATTATTTATGAAGAGCTATAAGGAAAAAAATCCTAACTTTAGTCTTGGGAATCAGTGCAACTTGTGCAATGTTATAGTTCCTGTAACTTATCTGCCAAAGCTAAGGATGTCACAGGGACACAGAGAAATCCATCACAAATTTATCAAGATCTTCCACCAGTCAGTTTTCAAACATGTATCAATACAACAGGAAAGGCCCCAGGACCCTATTTCCACCCCCTCAATTATTTTAGCCTCTAATGTAATAAGATTATTTTTATTGAAAACAATTAAGTTTGAGATTGCAACAAAACTGATGAAGATTTTGTGAAACTGGACATAGCTCCAAGCTTCTTGATGTCACTCCAGATTTCTATTCAAGAATCAATGCGATCTTCTCCTTCTCCCTTTGAGAGGATAAAAATCCCAGAAAGAGCAGCAAGAAACTTTTCCTGACATCCAACCTCAACCTCCCCTCTAGAGGAGCTGCAGAGAACTGAAATAAAGTCCCTCAGGACCCATCCCTGTCACAGAGATCAGAGCTGCCCCTCACGAGTGTCCCCTCAGAGCAGCTTCTTCCAAAGCATAAAACTCATTGCGTTTCATGTTCCATGCTGCATGGTAGGATTTCTGTTTCTGTAGCTTTCTCATGCTATTACATTAATATTTTACTCCCAAACCTTTTAAATTGTGTCTCAAATCAGCTTTTCACAAAACAAAATTAAATTATATTTTAGCCAAAGCTCTTAAAAAAGGCTCTGAGAAGTAGGAACACTACACAAGGTTGCTCAGGGCCCAGAAAATATAACTTTTAGTGAAAGGCTCCCTACCCATGACAATCTTGAAGTCCCTTCCAATCCAAACTAATCCAAGACTAAAATGAAAATCACGTGCAAGGCTGGCAGAAAGTCATCCTCTGTTAAGGGCCCTTACAGATAAATCCATTTTCTTTGTGAAGAACTGCTTGTTTCTGCTGGAGCAATGTTCTTCAGCATGGTTACGCTGGACACAAGGAATATCCAGCTCAGGAATTGACATTTTGGTTGAGTTTGGTGCTGCCTGTGCCAGCAGTTAACAAACACATCCATCCTCTGTGACCTGTGGCACAGATTGTAGGAGAATTCTGCAAACTGGCCCAGAGCACACTTTAGGAAAGTTGGTAGCTTTAATCCAAGCAAATTGAATTTCACAATTCTGGATTTGCCCCAGAATCCATCTGCAGTGCCAGCAGTTGGTTACAAAAGCTGAGATCTCTCTCCAAAGCTAAGACTACACTGATGTCAGAGGATGCCACGAGGATTCCACGGCTCCAGCAAATTCCCATCCAACCCAGGCTTCCTAAAAAATCCCAGCCACATTTTTAAAGCAGATTTATATTGTGTTGCCCAGTCTTTTTGTCCTTGCATTTGAATTTAGCTTGTCCTGTCCATAGGAAAAATTCATTTTGCTAAAAACATCTGGCCAGCAAAGCAGAGCTGCTTGTGAAGCCTGAGAGGTTCCAGCAGTTCCCATCTCAGAAACCCCAAAAGTGGCAAAAGGACAAAGCCAGGACAGCTGGAAAGCAGAAAAACCTTGGAGATCCCACCAGATGATTCCTATTGAGATCATAAATGAGCAAGCACAGTTCTGGTCTCCTCTCACCCTTGAAAGGGCAACTAAAAACCAAGATGAACCAAAGTTTCAGGCTCAGGCAATTGTCACATTCCAGGATTTCCAGCTGCCTCTGGTGGATGCAGAATAAACACCTGTATTGGGAACATCCTGCTTTGGTTTTAATTCTTCTTAGTTACTTTAATTCTTTCTTTTAGTTACTATTAATATTAATTCTTATTAGCTACTTTAATTCTTTCTTTTAGTTACCATTAATAATTTTTTTCTTTATACACTTTCAAAATTTTAAACCTGCTTCACCTTTCTCCTAATCCTATCTCACAAGAAATTAGTCATTAACCAACACCAAACCAAACATACTAATTAGTACATTAACTAAGAAATCTAAAAAGTAATGAAATCTCAAATTAACAAACGAAACCCACTACACTTAATTACCTGGGTTGGGAATATACAGTGGCAACAACCACCAATAAAAATACCACACTCATATTCTGACCAAAATCTTGTATTTATTTACAGTCCTTTCATCTGTTCTCGTTCAAAACATCCCAGAATTATTAAGGCTGGAAAAGACCTCTAAGATGATGGAGTCCAACCATTAACCCAACAATGCCACCAAATAATGTTGCCAGGCACCACATCCTACACCAAAAAGGATAAAAATTTCCACACAATAAATTTCCCCCAACAGGTTTTTTCTTAGCCCTCCACTTGTTTGAATTTGCCTTAAACACCTGGAGATTATTTCCTTACACACAGGGTAAGAGTTTAAACCAAAACCCAAGACCCAAATGGAAAAAGGCAACAGAGATTTTTTTTTTCCCCTTCATTTTACTGAAAAACAAAGTTTTAGAAATTTAAAGTTTTGAGTTTAAGATTTGGTTATTTCCACTGGTAATGAGTCTGGATTTATCACTTGGAATTTGAAACTTTGTACACCTGAATTTCCCATCTCAGTCTCATGGTACACAGAACCATTTCTTTTTCTTGCTCTGAAGAAAAAGAAGAGAAAAGCAAGGAATACTTAATATTCTTGAGCTTATCCATGCTCCTGCTAACACTGCAGAAAAGTAAGCCAAGGGCATCTCTGCTTATTTTAGTCCTATTAAAATGTGTTGCAAGGAAGAAGAAAAGTCAACACAGTGTTTGTCAAACAGAAAGGATCCAAATTGTTTGGGAAAGGAACTTTGCAGGAAGAACTTTGAAGGGGGAATCACAAAACAGGACAGGATGATGAAACAATGATAAATATACATCAGCAGTTCAGAACTCCCTGGAAAATATTCCAAACAGAGGACAAAGAGAAGGAAAATCAGTTTAGACCCTGAGTAGCAGATGATGAACTCAGGGGGGGTTTCCAGGAGGGATTCCTGAGCACTTCATTTGTTGTTTTTATTTTGATTTTTTTCCAAATGAGAATTCTCCTCCTCTGTAAGATACCTGGAATTTGTACTTGGCAGCTGGATGGCTGCAGATTCCTGCTCATTA